GTTTGTTTCTTTGTTTGTTTGTTTGTGTGGTGGTGGTAGTCGTCGTGCAGGTGGTTGTGCTCGTAGTCGTGCTGGTGGTGGTGGTGGTCGTCATGGTGGTCGTGATGGTGGCGATGGTCGTGGTCGTGGTGGTGGTGGTGGTGGGAACGTGGGAACGTGGGAACTGTTAGGGTTGTGGCATCAATCTGTTTATTGACGAGTCCTCGTCAACGCATCCCGCTTCAGCGGTATCATCGTCGTTGTCACTTCAGGGCTTTTGTGATTACTTGCAACGAGCCAGGAAGCCCTCCATGATTATCCTCGCGTTTTCCGATGTCTTCGGCCCGTACACAGGTCGGACAGCCACTTTGAAGCTCCAGCAACTCTGAGTAAGTCTTAGTACGACTTAAAAGTTGTAGCTATGTAGCATGTTTGCTGGATGCTCCCACCATGTTGCTGAACCCTTGGAGCCGGCTTGAATTAATTACTTACCACTACCACTTGTTATCATCACTGGTACTCCGGTCGGTGCGCCGTTACAACTGTCAATACTGCGACTTCGAATTACGCAGGCTGGATGTTTTGCTCCGTTTAGCGGTCTGACAAGTCATGGCCCCAAACTTGAATGCCTGCCAGCTGCCAGGGTTCAGGGTTTAAGACTCATATCCCGAAAGCCTAACAGTTTGGGGTTTGGGGGAGCTCTTGAGATCAAGATGCCGAGACTTCAAGACAACACATTACTACCCTGCAATGTTCTATTGTATAATGCAAAATACTATGTATCTACAAGCAGGGCGCCACCGACGGATCTGCGACCAGATGGCGGAAGCCGTTCCCAACAGCCTCGTTTGCATGCCGGCAGTTCGAAGGCAATTAGACGGTTCTGGATAAAGGCTTGAGGCGTTTCTGCGAAGTTCATTGGGTAAACTATCAGGGTATTTAGCCTCCAGTTTTTGGAGTGCGTAGTTCCGAGTGCACTGAGAACTGGGTTTGGGATGACAGGAAGCCAAATCGTGTAGCGATTGTACATGAAGCATGCCACAGTGGGTTTATGCGTTGATGTTCAAACTTTGCAGAAACTCGGTCTTGTCACCCATTGAGTGCGGCCTGCCAAAAGCACCATTGCCCCAAGCGACCAATGCATTCCGAACGATGTCAAGGTCTATGCCTCAACACCCCAGCAACACCGAACTTTCGACTTTTCGAATTGCGCAGGTCTCACCAGACCTCCCTAATTCATGAGCGCTACATGGCTATGTGGCAGTTGAGGTTTGCGGCTTTAAGAGGATGTTGACGGCCGCCGGGTGCCGAAGCCTTGCAAAACTCGACTTGCAGGCCAATGAACAGTCTCTGGGAGTTCTGAAGCTACTTTCTGCTGCGCAAAGGTAGAACAGCCGAACCTAACTGCAATCAATGGTGTTGCGAACATAACATAATAAGACTCTCTTGACAATGACGAGTCAAGACGAGTTGGCAAAGTAGGCACTTATTGATGAACCTAGGACGAAGTTAAACCTTGCTGTATCTTGCCATGCTCCCCCAAACCCTACACACTGATGCCCTTTACTAAGGACTTTTTCCATGGCGATCCTATTGCCCCCGATTATTCCAGCTATAGCAGCTGGGCGAGCTTGCGGCTGAAATTGTACATGCCGAAACTTGGCGCAGAGCACTGAGAGAAGGCTCTCCATAGATACACGCAAAAGAATCATGGTAGTCATTTTAATGATAATGATAGTCATAGTCATTAGTAGTAGTAATATTCTTATTCTGTACTCTTATGACCTCTTATGACCCTTTTTGGAAATACCGCTCTTACTACCATGAATGTGTCTGGCAGTACACAGAGACATGGCTTCTGATCGCAAGGGCATAATGATGGCATGAAGGCGGCCTCGGGCTTTCTAGTCTCACCAGTAAGTCCCACAGGAAGTTTCGTTTACGATGCCACAGCCAAGAGTCACAAGGCAACAAGCCTGGTTTGAAAAAGCCGGAGACACGCGCCTTTCAAGAGGGCCTGGATTGCAGTTGCAGGGTGTCGGGCTCGAGGAGTAAGAAGGTACGCTCACCCGACCTCCAGAGCCGCAGATAGCGTCGATCACATAAACAGCGGGAGCCCCTAAGCCCCAAGCTAAGCAGCTGCCCTGCGGTCCAGGAAGATGCTGTATCGGATCAGGTATCGCTACAGCTGGGGCAGCTTGTTTGCATTTTCGGGCTTGCGCTGGAAATTTGGCGTTGTTTTCAAAGCATAAGCCTCAGGGATGGGGTGATCAAGATGCAGGGCCAGCACTTGCAGACTCGCATATGCATTGACGTTGGCAATTTTCTTAAGTTTAGCTACGGACGTGGGTGATCGATGGTGCAGCTGTTTGTTCCCAGCGACGGGATTTGCAGTACATGTCCAGGTGATGGAAGAACATAGAACAGAACAGAGTTTTACCCATGCTCCTCATACTCTAAATCCCCATGAACACCACAGGGTTGAGTGAGCTCTAGACATGCAGGAGCACAGGGACCAGAAATGATAAAGTCTTCACCTTGGAGAACCTCTGCAGCTTCAAAGCTGCATATTCCAACAGCCCCGCTTCAGGAGTCTTGGCTCCACAGATCCAAAAGCTCACAGATGCCCTTGCGGCAAAATACCCCGAGGTGCAACATGTTCGACTGGGGAGGCTCTACGGTTCGCGAAATTTCGGAAAGCAAGATGTGCACAGATCACACTCCCAGTCCTACGTAGCATTGCTGCAACAAGCACTACCGCTGTGTGGTGTCAACAGCATCTGCCACCGACCACAACCACAACCACTACAGCCCAAATCGAGATAGTCAGGACGGCGAGATCCAGAATCATTGTATCGTAAAGGGAATAGGCATTGGTATCGAATGTATGAGCATTCGAACCCCCTCCGCAAATGTATCTAAGGTGTGGCCAAAGTCATAGTACCTGAAGGCTGGCCCGGACTCGACCCAGACGGATACACCTGTTGACACAAGAAGCCCTCCAGCATAGACCCACCTGAGCTCTAAGTGACCCTAACTGTATGCGACGGAGAGGTGCCGATGTTTGCCTATGGCTTTTGCTGGGGCGGCTATGTTGTGGCAGCTCGAATGGTTTCTCTTTGACGTCGTTTGTGACAAGCGTTGGGCGGGGGGAGCAGGGTTTGCCCTCATCCTTAAGCTTGCGCAGAGTGTGAGTGAGAGAGAGCGCAGAGCGTCAGAGGGGCGGGGCACAGGTCCTGGCAGGGAGACACAAAAGACCTCCCCGCCCCTCCAGTGAGGAAGGAGTTTCAGGCAGACTCGAATCGCGTAAGGCATGCTTGCTGCGTGTCCCTCGTCTGTGCTGAAGACGAACAGGAAGAAGAATAAGAGGAAGCAGAAGAAGGGAGAGAGAGAGAGAAACCTCTGGTACGTGTGCTGCTTCCCCCGAAAGCCCCACAAGCCGTGGGGGCCCCATGGGCCGGGGGGCCTGACAAGCCCCTTTGACTTGAAGGAAGAAGAAAAGACAGAAAGGGCGGGGCGTAAAAACTAAATCCAAGGCGAAAGCCAGCACGTTGGGTACCTTCCGCGGCGTGGTCGCCTTCCATCCCTCCGTTCTTGTCTGTGGCACGGCAAGAAATCCCGATTTGTCTTGTCTATGTGTTTGATGTTTGGCGTGATTCTTACTTACCGCCCTGGACTGCAAATGTGAGGCTGTGTTAGGGTGATGGTGGTGATGATGGATGGTGGTGATGATGGCGATGGCTAAAGAGATTCAGATTCGTATAACATTTCACAGCAAAAGCAATAATCGTAGAAAGCCTTCAAGCAGCAACTGCAATAACAACTACGCTTTCTATCGCCTGGACGATGCACTTCTGAGCCTCCGAAGGGAAAGGGAAGCTCGGGCCCTCCTCCCGCACCCTCGCGAGGCCCAAATGCAGCAAGAAGAACCACCACAGAATCGCAGTATCAATCATCATCTTAACCGGAGTAGTACTGTATTGTCGTCGTCGTCGTCGTAGTAGTAGTAGTAGGAGGAGGCTAATAATCAGAAGAGAACCATGAAGAATAGAAGCAAAATAATCGTATTAGTTATTAGTCACAAAACTCACAATTACAGCCATAGTAAGGCAACCATCCTAGCCACGCAGTAATAATTTTCATATCATCGACAATGGCAAGAATCGTAGCAGTACAGGTGGGAGTATTAATAACAACAATAATAAATCAGAGTAGTCGTTTTAATGGTCATTGTAGTCTCCGTGGTAACAATAACAACCATAGTCGCAATAGCTGTTTATCCGGATGTGGTCTCCCCCATCGTCCTTTGCTTCTGTGGCCTGCCCGACCCGGGTTCGCTAAGGGCCTAGGGTTTAGGAAGCTTCCTGGAAGAATAGCATATGGATTGCTTGAGAGATAGCTTCGGGTTCCAAAATGTGTTGGGTTTTGGGACGCTGCAGTTTAACGCCCCCCAAACCCAAAACCTCATAGGGAATATTCAGGCTCCTACATAAGACCCTGAAGTCCTAACCCTCATCCGTTAAAGCCTTGTGAGCGATGCCCCCAAAATGGGGTACCCTGGTTTTCAGAAATTCCCGTGTTGGTCAAAAGGAGAGTTCAATGAATCTGACTTTCCAGCTTGAGAGCGTCATTTTTTCTAGGGTCTACAGTTGGAGGGCTTAGGGTCCACGACATATCGTGATCGTTTGTCGCAGCTCTCACTGTGAAGATTAAGCACGAAAACCCATGGCTGTGGCTCAAGAGTCGTTCTGCAGATCTCGTAGGGCTTGATTTCAACACAGGTTTACAGCACGCGGATTTTGTTGATGGTGTCGAGGGCACTCAAGTCACACGCGTCCCCCAACCCTAGACTTCCCGAAGCCTTATTGACACGTTCATAAGTCTCCATCACGGTAGCAGATGCCAGAGCCGACGAGTTTAGGCCTCTTAGTGCCCCCAGTCCTTCAGCCATCCTAGGGCCCTCGGGCCCTTTTGAAAGGTCCCAGGCCTATGGCTCTTGCGACCGAGCTGCGGCTTCAGCAATTGGAGGCCCGCTTGGGTCAGGTGGAGGCGGCCTTGAGATCCATACAGCAGCCAGCGGCGCCAGCGGCCGGTGACAGCAGGGAAGAAGAGCCGCTCCGTCACCTCGAGACCCTTCAACAGAACCTGGAAGATGGCGGCAGCATCTCCTCCAGTGAGCTTGTCCACACGCAGTCGGAACGCTTCGAGGAGGCTCTCTTCACATCAGACGGAGATGAGATACGTGCTGGAATTACGACCAAAGGGCCGTGCTATGAGCTCAAGCACTCTGTTTGGGATGCCTGCCTGTTCATCGGACTGCCAACTTTGAGCAAGTGGGATTCTGCACTGGCTGGACTTCTGCTGCTGCTGAACATGTTCACTCAGATCGCCTTCGTCCTCATCGTCCGAAAACGCATGTTGGAGGGTGTTCTACAACCTGATGAGCTAACAGAGTACCTCCAATTCAGGACGAAAGTGGCCCACGATGTGAAGTATGCCGACCTCGTCGGAGGCCGTTCAATGGCAAGGCAAGTATGCAGCCAGGATGAATCCCTTCAGTGGGCGAATGCGCAAACAGGAATAATCTCGGACTTGAATGACTACATCTCTATCGGGCCTATATTGGCGCTGCTGGCTATCGGCTGCTGGCTGTCCACGACCCTTCGGGAGTTATTCAACATCATGGGGTTCGTGAGCGCCATCCGAGGCTTCCCACCAGGCGAGATTACCGTGATAGCACCCAAAGAGGATGGCGACAGCGGGCATGTCGTCCTCACAAAGATGTCAACATGTCGGAAGTACATGGTCTACATCTTCGTCGCATTGCCGCGCTTGGTGGTGGGTGTTTCTTTGGCGATCACAGGTACAAGTTACCTTGCCAACACCCTGAACCTGGCAGACTTGATCCTCAATGCGGTGGCCCTGGCATTCATCCTCGACATCGATGAGCTGATCGAGTCGGCCTTTATGCCGAGACGGGCTCGCTTCCTGCTGAACGCCTTGGGGACGCTGCCCATCGCCCGCTTGGACATCCCAGGTCTAGCCCAGATGGGCGGGGGTTTCCAGGAGCGCCTGAAGAATTTGCTCAAAGTAGCACTTCTTCTTCTGGGTCTCTCCCTGGCTTGGGTGTGTTTGCTCCAGCCACTTCACGACCGGGTGCGGCTGGCACACAACATTCTCTGCAGCGGCAGGCAAGACTTCATCTACACGGTGAATGCGGCTACTGGACTGGTCGAGGCTACACCTACTTTCCCGGACAACGTTCCTTTGACTGGCAACCAGGAAAGTGTGCTAAGACTGGCAGAAGTGGATTTGTTTTCCATTCCGGATTGGTACACGCAGCACGCGATTGACAGCTTCCAGAAGAATGGGGCACCAGCCATCCTTCACACAGCCGGCGATGGCGAGGAGGCCAGCATGAACTTGCTTTTCCAGCTGCTGATGTTGGCAAAAAGTGACGTCGAAATGGCTGCTGAACGTCTCCCCTGCATGGACGAGGCATTTCCGGCTAGCCTTGTCCGGGATCGCCTGAGGCACATCACGAACGAAACTGTGGGCAGCTGCATGGAATTGGCAGAGAAGCCCGATCTGTGCGCGGACATGAGCATGAACGCCCTGCGCTCCCTGTGCCCGCAAACTTGTGGTTGCGATGAGCCTATCAATTCTGCGGCTGCGGCATTCGCGACAGTTCCCTATGGCTGTCCGAAAATGTGCATGCCACAGAGGGCGACTTCGTTGAAGATAAAGCACGCGCCTTGCACGGACATGACCGCCGAGGAAATGGCTTCGAGCCAGTTTATCAGGCGTTACTTTCACGGTCTCTATGCGGTGCAGCTCGGGAATGAGGAGTTCCGGACTGCCCGCACAAAAGAGTACACCATGAGCTTGAACAGCAGCTATTACAGCCTTCTGCCAGGCCCCAACAAAACGGAGTCGCTGCTGAAAGCCGGGGAGTTTTACAGAAGCGGTGGTTGGCATGATGCAATGGCCAATGCGAACTACATGCTAGGGCTCGGTATCCCACATCCGCGCGGACTTACGGGCTGTGCTTTCTTGGATTCTGAAGAAGTCAAAGCTGTGGCAGGTGGCGGCTTCTGTCTTCCGCGCACGGATGGAGATCTTGTCGTGTCTCTTCGCGCTCAATGCCCGGTGACTTGTGGCTGCAAAGCAGATGAACGAGACTGCCCGGGCACTTGCCCGACAGACTAGCGAGGCCTAGCGGTCTTCATCTCGGCTGTACCCAAGCTGACCAGTGCTGAGTGCTGACCTCTCCTGGACCTAGTTCTGCCGAGAGTGAATGGCAGTCGAAATTCGTGGAAATGGGGGGCCCACAGATTTGACTGCCCCTGCGAGGGCTGTGGAGCTGTTGCAGCACCAGAAGGCATTGAAAACCGCATGTGTCATATAGGGGCCTGAGTAATTAGTGCCAGCTTACCCTTCCCGCCCCTAGTATTTGCATCTCATTATAGTTTTGCTATACCCCCAGAATGACCCTATATATCGTCAGATATCGTCAGTCTTAAGGCCCCTACAGTAGTCGGTGACTTCAGGCAAGCTTCAATACTCACCGCACGGCCAAAAGGAAGAAGACTTGGCCAAGGACGAGCTTGAAAGATGGGTGATCTGCTTTCAGGTCTTTCATGGCACGATTTTAGGATGAAGACTTTGCAAACAAAGCACAAGGGAGCTGCATCTTTAGGTAACCTTGGTGGAGATGTCACCTGCCAGCTCGAGTTCAGGGGGGGTGCTTACGGATGCTGGGCATCTTGGTGAAGAGGCGCATAATCCCAAACTCTGTCGGGTGGAAGAAGAAGAGAGAGGGCTCGTGGTATCATTCTCATCCGTTTCCTTCGTTTTATTGTAGCCGCACCTGACGTGAGTTGCACAAGTTGAAATCCTTCGCGAGGGCGAGCCCAGCAAAGTGTTGAGCTCGAGGATCCAGTCGTAAACATGTCGGGCTCAAGGCTTGTGTCCAAGAAGGGTTGCGGCAGTTTCTATAGCTGAGCAAGTAGACATGAAACCTTCGTGACCTTTTCACCCTACCCATGCGCAGGAGGTTCGATGTCCTCAGCTGATGATCCCGGCCTCCAATGACGACCCCCATGTCAAGCCAGGCCGGTCGCAGCCATTCTGCCAGGGTTTGTGGCAAAGGTGACGGGCTTTCTTCTACAGCATAGTCCGGTATGTATTGCCTGGAAGTATTGCAAGACTATGCTACCTTCGTAGGTTGCAGGGAAATTTTAAGGGTCAGACAAAGATCGACCCCCGGAATCTCCCGTTTAGTTCCTGTGACCACTCCCGGCACGCATTGCCAACGTGTGCAGGTCAGGCGAAGATTGATTGTTTCTTGAGGAATTCCGGGACAGGGGGCTGTTGGTTGCTGTCGGGGCCCCTGACGTTGAATGGACTTCGTTGGCATCGGAAGCCATATGATGCCTCTCTCGTATGGATACCCTCTTTTGCTTCAGAGGTGGCGGGTTCATGAGCATCGTTACGGCCGCCCACCCAGCGAGCAAGTCAGTCGTCTACGAGAAGCTTGTCTCACAAATTTCGCAAGTTGTCGAAGCTCTTCGGTTATTCAGCGCTTTCTTGGGCATGTCGATTGTGCTTCACGAAGGTCTAGCTGGACGGGCTACGACGAAACCTTGTTCCCTCTCTTTAAATCGAGGGACAAGCATGAGCTGCGAGCAAGCTTCCGGAGCAATTATCATCGGATTCTCATAGTGAGGATCCTCAGCCTTCGGGGTGTAGGATCCTACGAAAGGGCTTGAGTCCCGCAACAAAGAGTATCTGTAGGGATGAAGGCTTTGGAGCCCTATTTGGTCCATGCCGTGTCTGGGACACCTGGGCGTGAAAACTCTTACGTTGGCACGCCAGATAGGCTCATTGATGCTGGCATGGGATGACCTCACACTCGCCGCGAACCTGCTGAATTTCTCGACAGACTTCTCTTTCCCTTCTCCGGGATGCCTGTTCTTGAATTGTGCTTTGTGTGTGTGTGTGTTGTTGGTGTGCACGCGTGTCAACTGTATCTGTCCGTGTGAAACTTGCCATACCTGAGACTGGATGTCTCAATGACATGTTACAATGTTGTTTGTTTGTGCGGCGGCTAGTTTGTTTGTATGGTTGAAAGCTTATTTTGTTGTCTGCCTGCTTGCTTGTCTGTCTGACTGTCTGTCTGTTTGGGTTTTTGCTGGTTTGTTGCGCATGTTGTTTGTTCGTTGGCTGTTTGTGCGGTGCTGGAACTTGTCCGCTACTGTTTGTCATAACTACTGGAACCCTCGCTGTGGGCACAGTTTGTTTCGTTAGTTGCGGCAACGAAATCGTCATATTTTTCCTGGAAGACTTGTTACTACGATTTGCTGCATGGCTGATATGCGTTGTTGCTCATGAACTATGTTTGAGTGTTCTATTTCAAATTATCGCTGACTGCCCTGTGCGACTTTTCCGACGCTTCCTACCTCGCACTTGCCGTACGTAATGTTGACCTTCGCCATGGTCATCAGATTTGCACATGACCTGGCATGACTTGAATGTCATATTTACGAGCACGTTCGAATAATCGGCAGTCTTGTGGCTTGCAGTCGAGGAACATGATCCATGGCTGGATGACCCGGGGTGCCGATGACCCAATGTTACCGCAGAAGGCAAGGGCAGCTGACTAGCTATTTTGATGTGAGCGTTGGACCATGTCGCTCAGCCTGTACGGCACTTTGGGGACTTTTGATCGCAGTGTCGCCGTTCCAGCATCGGGAAGGGCATGGTGTTTTGTTGGCGAGACTTGCACTGGCCCCGCGGCCCCACCCTTCGGCACTTTGACACGAGTTGTCTTTTGCACGCAGTTTGTCCTCGGGCAAAATGTGCTGGCACCGGCCTGCGAAATGGTACAAGTACCTTCAACAGCTGACAGACTTGTTCTTCTGCTGCTTCCCGCTGAGTCGTTATCTGCCGTTCTTTTAAGTGACCTTGTGGCAAGCGTGTAGCTTCTCGTTCTTGTTGGGAGTAGGCAGAGGATGCTTCGTGGACCCCTGAAAGTCCGCACTGCGAACGAACCGTTGCAGGAAGGCGCGGAGACCGTCAAGGAGTCCCAGGCGGAAGAAAGAGATCGGGTCCTTCAGAACTGGGCGTAGAGATTCTGCACCCGTTCGGGGAGCCCTCTCCTCCGGTAACGATCCACCTTCTTCGTTTTCAATGAAGTTTTTCCAGTGGCTCTAGACTAGAGTTTCGAACTCAAGCTTCAGGTTGTTCATGTGTTAGTCCTTTTGCGAAGGATTGTCTTTTGCTATGGGTATCGGCCTCAATTCCGGAGCTCGGTTATGTGGTCTCGGGTTGTTCAAGATTCAATCCCCAAGGCCCGTCCAGAACGCCTTGGCTACATGTTGCTTTTCGCTCCTTCGTTTCGAGGTGCTGTGGAGCGTATGACTTATGACTACCTACCACAGGCCAAGGTGTGAATGCATGCAAGCTGTCAGACGTCCTTTCATGTCATAGGATAGAGTGGCTAGAGTGTATCACATTTTCAAACAGTAGGATCCCGATACATTGCCCTAGAGCCTAGTAGACATGAACAGGAGCCCTTCGTCCTTGGAACCAAACCCTAAAGCCTGAACCCTTAGACCTTCGGCAAATGAAGCCGTGAACCGGACAACTCCCGGCTCCGAGTGCAAGAGCACAGACTGTTAAAACTCCTAAGCCTAAAACTAGCCTCAAACTCGTACCCTTAAACCCCCTGAACCCATCTGCCTTGGGGGTTGGGCTTTTCATACTTGGAGCTTCTAGAGACCCTGGGTCCTCCTCTCTCTCGGGATCCCTGGTCCAATGAAACTCCCTGCGGTGCGACATTGTCAGCTGGGGCGGGTGGGGAAAAATGTAGACCCTAGAAGGGGCCCACGCATGCCTTTACCAGGCCTCTGCGCTGAAGCTGGCTGTCGACTTCTTCCTGCAGCTGGCACAGCCCTCCTCATAGAAACCGAAGTTGCGGCGACGAAAATCGAGAGTATACCAGTATACCCTAAGCCCTAAACCCTAGGGTTTACGGGTCCTCAAACGAACTTTAGGTTTATTAGCCGGAGAAGTGCTCGGAGTCTAGGACTTCTCAGTCTCGAAGTTCTTGTGGGGGGGGGGTCTTGGGGTCTTTTGGGCGAGCTCCTCGGGGTGTTGAGGTTGTTTGGGGCTCATGGTGAGAAGTTGTTTACTTGCTACTCTCCGGCATGCATGTTCGGGGGTGATCAGCGCAGCACTGCCAAGCCATGTAGTCTCGACAGTATGTTGGCTCCGTTGCACTGGGGTGTCACAGTTTCAGAGATCGCAGAGTTTTGCTGAAGAAGGGACCCTTGTTGGCAGTCGTTCAGGTGAAATGTAAGAGCTGCAGATTCGGATAGAGCCCTAACCAAGCACAGGTTTTCCGCGCGTGCATGCGGAACAGATGCACAACGTGCATGTACAGAGGGCGATCTTGCCCGGACGGTGCGTGACTCGCTGCAAGCTGTGAACCATGGGATTAAGTTAAGAAGGTGTCAACTTATTGTTTCAGCCAGGCTCTCAGGAAGGCGGTTTTGGAAACCACAACTGTATGCATTGCAAAGGTGGCAGAGAGGTGACAAGCAGACAGCTTGAGCAGCACACCCTTTGGTTCACTCCCAAGTCGGACGCCCGGTTGGCGCAGTCTGCTGTGTGGGAGCAAAAGCAGTGCAGGCGACACGACAGCTGCGTTGGCATTGTAAGCGACCTGCGCGACAGCAGGGGTGTTTTCGGACAAAACGGCTGTTTCAAGGAGGTAAAACGACGGAGTTTGCTTTAGCTGTATTGTTTCGGGGGACAGTCTTACGCAACTGCTCAAGTTATAGGGCCATCTTTACTTCATCGCTTTCATCTGTGGAACTAGTTTTTTGGTGGTTTTGCCGAGGCGAATTTGCGTTTGATCGCACGAGTGTCCGCCAGCATGTCTTTGCGGTTTTCCGGATAAAAAGGCTTTCTTGGATTTCGGCCGAGGCTTGGGTTTGTGGGGCTTCGGTGTTGCCGTGTTTGTTTTGTCTCTGGGGGGTGGGGGGGCGGAGACTGTACTTACCGCGCACTTTGTGTTTCTACCTCAGTGAGAACACAAGTTTGGTTGTGAGTTTTGCGCTTCAGGGCAAGGCATCGGACCCATGCGAGCAACATAGTTTGTGTTGTTCCTTCAATTCGTCAGTGTTAAATTGCTTGAAAGCCGTTTTCTCGAGTAGTGAGCGCATTTTTGCGTCTTTTGTACAAACTTGTTGTTGGGGCAGGGGCATGTTCAGAGAGTCGGGTGTCGGGTTTAAGATTGAGGGGTTTGGGCTTGCACTGCTCCGCCAGGCTTGGGAAGTCGGGTTTGAGCTTTAAGCTTGAGGGTTTTGGGCTTGCACTGCTTCGCCAAAGCTTGGGATGTTGGTTTTAAACTTGGGGTTTGGGCTTGCACGCTATTCAGGTATTGTAGTATACTATTATAGTACAGTATTCTCGCATATCATTACAGTATGCTATTATTCATGGAGCACAATACGTCTTTAGGAGGTGGGAAAGCCTTGAGGGTTCTCGGGCTCTGGCGCCCAACAGCTGCAAGTCAAGTACAATAGCCTCGTTAATACTTTAGGATACTATTATAGGATACTATTTTCGTTTGTATTATAGTACACTACCATTTCAAGCATAAGCTCTTCTAAGGAGGTGCACAGCAGTAGCACTAGCAGCAGCAGTACCAGCAGCAGTGGCAGGTGCAGCAGCAGCATAGCAAGGGTGGTTAGTGCAGCAGAACTAAAAGTACAATTGAAATCGTTACTACAGCAACAACTACGTCGACTACTACTACTACTACTACTACTACTACTGCTAGTACTACTACTACTACTACTACTACTACTAGTACTAGTACTACAGCTACAACTACAACTACTATTACTACTACTACTACTACTACTACTACTGCTGCTACTGGTACT